CAGAAACTCGGAAATGATGAGGATCTGGAGAAAGGCCTCGAAAACTACAGTACTTCTCTGGGGATCCTTACCTCAACACTTGATGTATCTTGGCAGGCAGTACTTGAATGGGCATCATTGGCGAAACAATACAGACTCTCTGATTGCACGAAAGCCTACAAAGCAGCTTTTGCTCTGTTACCAGATATTCTTTGGATTGGAAATAACCTGAGAACACATCAGAAAGCCACTACACGAATTAATGTAGCATCTGCAACGGCTCAAGCAATGAGTGCATGCATTGATCTTGGAGATTTTGATCTATATGTTGAATTTCTTGAACAAGGAATGGCAACATCATTCCAACAGCTCTTGCAGTTGAAGCCAGATGTTGCTCAACTTCCCCAAGCTGATGCAAATGAGCTGTAAACACTTTCGTCTCTATTATATCGTGGGACAACTGACAATCCTCACGGGGTTGCCTATGATAGAAATAAATTGCTTGAAAGTATTAGAAAACGTCCAGGATTTGAGTACTTTCTACGTCCGAAACCGTATGCCGAGCTTTGTCAGGCTTCACAAAATGGCCCCATTATTATTCTCAACTCTCATTATTCTGCTGGATCCAGCCTCGAAACCTGTCCATGTTCTACTTCCAACTGTCTCGTTGCATGAACTCGAAGCTCAAAGGACAGTTCTCAAGCAGATGCTCCACAGAAACCTTATCAGATCTCGAGGTGTCCCATCTGCACGGCGCATGGGAGGTCAGGAAGGAGAAAAGCCTGTCCCAAAATACTTTGAAGATTTGTTGAATTGGCTTTGGATCAATATTGTGCAACACATTTACAAGGCCTTGGAATCGGTAAAGCAATATCATGTGTTGATTTTTTTATACTGATACGAACCCCCACCCGTAGAATAAAATTGTTCAAGGCCGAATTTGGTGGTGTCCTACAGGGGGTTTCACGGGCCTTCCTCTTCATGCTGCGGCCTCAACCGATCAATTTGTCCAATCCTACACATCAACTTTGGGAGCCCTTCTGGAAGCAATGCATAAGCCCCCTAGTGATCACCCACACATAGTTGGCTTGGTCGGAGTGACACACAGTGGATCTAGAAATCGAGACAATTGTTTCCATTGTTGGGCAAGAACATGACCAGAGTCCCGTCGGGCCTGAAGCCATTGTGGAGGCAGTTGAATTGCAACTCCAACAATGTTCATGGCTTCACTTAGCCTGTCATGGACAACAAGACCTCTTAAACCCTCCAAAAAGCTGCCTTCAGTTATATGGAGGTGCCCTGGAGCTCGAAACCATTCTTCGAATGTCACTTCCCAATGCAGAGGTTGTATTTTTGGCTGCATGCCAAACCGCAATGGGCGACGCCACGTTGATCAATGCATCCTTTCATTTAGCGGGCGGATTTTTACGGCAGGCTTCCGCGGAGCAGTTGGAGCTTTGTGGTCAATGGCTGACAAGGATGGGCCCAGAGTAGCTGAGACAGTCTATACCCATTTGTTTTCTGGTGGCAGGCAACCTCAGGCAACGGATGCAGCCAAAGCCCTTCAGCAGGCTGTCAGAAGGATGCGAGATGACAGAGTTCCATTTCAACGATGGGTACCTTTTATTCACATGGGTGTTTAATTTAATATAAACCAGTAATATATGTCTTACTTAAGTATCCACGAAATCGAAGTTAATAACGCCCGCCTAACATCATCAAAGACCGGCCGCGGGAAGTTACTTATAACGTTGTCGAGTTCATCGTGTACTAAAAATGAGCAAGAGAAACGACTCGCTCTATCAGTCTCCCTGTTACATCGTGGTTCGAAACGAAAGGGACAATGTAAGACAACCTGCCCCATCCATCGATGCAAAGGTCACTTGGTTTTCTTCATCTAGCAATGGTCGAATTTTTTCAAATGTCACTGGCGTATTTGAAATTGAACAATATACTGTGTGAATAAAACTGAGGACATACGGCGCAAAATTGACGAGGATCCCCCTCCACCTTCATCCATCGAACAGACTGTGCCTAGAGCCACACGGGATTCATCGAGATTAACGAATTCAAATACGTTTTGTGGCGGTATCACGTCGAGAGAAAGACAACTTCGACTAGCAGAAGTTTTGCTCGAGCACAGCGACGTAGCGGGCGAACGAGGGAAAATATCCGCAGCACGGAAGGTGGGTCCAGGTGGTAAATTTTGTGTCCGCGAGTGCGAGCGATCCATCGAAGAATGTTCACCGGAGTTCAATAACAAAGCTCGTTCCATCGCTGCCATCAATTGTTCAAGCGTCTGTGCGAAGCACTAATAGACTAGTGAGCTTTCGCTGCTCTGATTTGAACGAGCCTACCGTATGGATCGGAAGCTCAGAACTTAGGGCCTGTACGGCAAAAGATTCACGCAGAATCTCGGTCCTCAATCCTGTGGTAGGCCCAAATTTTCAGCATGCTAATTCAAGCAACGGTAACACTAATAGTATAAAGTGGCTTGGGAATACAATTTACCCTTGAGAAAGAGAGCTACGGGTCATTCAAAGTCCCAAGATTTTGAATTATTTCCTTATAAGGCAATAAAATCTGGCCAGATTCTGTTGCCGTACAGGCCCTAAGTGAAGTGGCGCGCCAAAGCTCATTACCGGCATATTTGGAGAGCGGCACACGGGGAATTGGCATTTACTGTACTTGATATCCACCTCTAGCTTCTTGAAGAAAACCAGTCGCAAGTTTCAAGCATATTTAAAGATCAGCGGACTCAGAGGATGCTTGAAAATTGAAATATCATTTCGCCGCCCTGCCCGCAAGAGGTCTCAGATCCAGATTTGTGTATCAAGGCATTCCAAGGGCCCCGTAGAAAAATCCCGACTGGTGGCAAAAAATCAAGCAAAAGAACGCCAGAGAGAACCAAGAGAGAACGATCCCGTGATGTCGGTGACGCGTCCCAACAAAGATCAACATTGGCACAGCCTCATCCTTCTCTCTTCTCGCCCATCTCATCGCGTCGCCACCAAGTTCTAATCTCCGACCAGAGCTTCCGTAAACTCTATAATTCAAATGCCTGGCTCCAACTCATGTCGAGGCTTCTCCCGACACTAAGGATCAAATCTCGTCTCAAAGTCCAGTGGCTCCAGGCTGAGACGTTATCATGGAGTCCAACTGGCTCCGAAATTAACAGTTCTCCGCGCAGCAAACTGTGTGTGCGGCGCCCCCTGCACCTGCCACAGTCAAAATCTCAGTCAGCTCTTCCATCGATAAAGCAGAAGGCTGGTCGCATCGGCTTCTTCAGCCCAAAAAAAAAACACCCGGGAGGCAAGACTTGTTAAATCGACTGCGTTTTGCTGCTAATTATGCCTCATCGCCATCGATAACCTCGAATGGGAAATTTTCCTTACAGAGTATCGATCGTGATCTCACGTACACTTGCTCTTCTCTCGAAAGTCACGATCGGTGTCGTCCCGGGAAGTTGGTAGCAAAGTCCCGCAGCTTGAGGAATCGTTCCTGTCGATCTGGGAGTACGTCATGCCAGTTTTATTTCGCTCTTGCGGACCGAGGCGCGATGTGGATTGCGGAATCATTCCCCGCCTCGGTGACGTACTTCATATCTCAGCGTAGAGCACCCTCTGGCGCTCCGCTAAATCCTATCGTGCCGACGGTACGTACTGCATTTTTCATCCCCCCACCGATCCCCCTTCAATCGATCTTGATCGCGATTCGATTCAATACTGATTCCCCGCATTCTCGCGTCGTGGGAGAGCGCGGACCCCGTCCCGTATCTTGACATCCTGAGAATGCGGGGTGATCCGTTTCGCCCACGTTTGCCCGTCCGCACTTCCCATTTCCAGCATCGCAACGATATCCGCGGAACTCTCCAGGTCCTGTCTGGAATCGAACTCACGCTGGCCCGGAGCACATCCGCTGATACTCGCGAGGGAGCCTTCTGGCTTCAGGTGGATTCGTTTTGGGGGCTGGGCACACCACGTTGCCGGCTTCTGCCCCAGACTAAATCCATTCGCGCACCACTATCTCAAGAGTCCAGACACTGAATGACATTCGCAGACAGCGCAACATGCTGTGGTATACACGTTCGTTGCAGCATCCAATCCGTCCAGCCCCCACTCGTACCGATATCCTGCCGCGCTGCCAGGCTGGTATGAGCTGGCTCCTTCGTTACACGTCAACAGGCGCCGGGATACTCGATGCCGGGCTTCGACTCCAAGTATAACACCACCGGATCGTACTTCCTCTGGTGCAGAACCGTCTCGCGTATGCCGAAGCACGCAATGGAGCTAAAGATGCTATTAACGCCACGCCACGCCGTTTCCTGCCAGGATACTGGGGCGATTTCGGTGGTGTTGGTCGGCAATGCGCGAAATTAAAGATGCGTCCGCTGTCGAGTGGGCGTGCAAACGCTGCAAGACGTGGGTTGCCGTCGGCCGGAAATGGGAAATTTTGGAATTGGTCGTGAGTGCGGAGAGTTGCCGGGGATACTCGCTGCTCAGTCACAGTCCGAGAAGTAAGTACGAGACAGACCTTCGTTCCCTCAGCCGCATTGGACTATTTATGTACTGTTCGATTGCGGAACTGGGCCGTGGTAGACAAGTCGGATCCACGATTGAGTTGTTACAGCGGTGGAAAATATTCTCTCGGTCTTCGCTGCCCTCGTAAATTTACAATGATTGGAGATTGCCGGGAATGGTTGGTGTAGTCGCAGGCTGAGAACAAAGGTTGGAGGCAACGCTTCTCCTTCAGATGAATCTGGTGCAACCGCAACTGTGCAATGCCGGAACTCGGTAGGAGCTGCCAGATACGTCGAGGGCGAATAGTGTAGTTGGTTATCGCACCCGTCCCGGCTCTCTTGGCGGCAAACTGACCGATAAGTGGGATGAGCCGCCACCTAATATTCTTCAACTAATGCCGTCCTGCGTCCTCGGATAAGTGTGTGCGCGCACTAGGAGCGCGTCCGTGGTACAAATACAGAACTGGGTCACTATATTCCTCCATCTTGAGTGACCTTCATCGGGCTTATAGTGTAGTTGGTTATCGCGCCCGCTTCGCAGATCGCTCATTTCTGGGATAACCCAGGTGAGCACGTGACTTGCGGGAGGTGCTGGGTTCAATTCCCAGTGAGTCCACTCTTTTTGCCCCTTTTTCCTGGGCTCAGATCTTTACTTTTTGCCGGCGGATCATTCTCAGATGGTTTTAAATCCTCCTAGGTACCCGCTCCAATATTTCTGGATTTTTGGGGTGCAGGAAGACGCGGGGAAAGCGGCCGGTGCGTTTGATGCGGAATTGATGGAATCATTCATATGGGAATGCGGTGGAACTCCGGGCCGCGGTTAAATGAGATCAAGAATGTGAAAATGAGACTCGAATGGCGAGCACGCCATTTGGAAGACGTACGTGGGGTTGATTAATTGGGCGGGACGCCGGTTCTCCGATGGGAGAAGGGAAGACGCTACAACATTAATTGCTTGGGTCACAGGTGGACTGGACTGGCCGAGTTTTTAATTGAACAACCTGTACCTTGGAGCTTGAAGCTTTTGAAGTGGAACCGGAAGTTGAACCCTCGATACTTAGAATTAATTAACCCCAGTTAATGCAGAGGTTCGAGATCAGACGTGAATATGTATTATGGGCCGGCAAAGGCATCACGCGGGTCTCTGGGATTCGAAGCCCGCTTCGCCAAGGGTCGGCGAGCCGGTGCGGGATCCGCGTTTGATACGTTTGATTGGACGAGGAGACGAGCGCTAGTGGTAGCGAAATGAAGTGCGTGCGTTGCCAGGGGTGGGGATGGGATTGGTCGATGCTTCGGAAGTACTGTAACCCTAGCCCCTGCCCCCGACGGAGGCTAAACGATGGACTACAAGTAAGAACGCGGGTAGGGATCTGCGTATTTAGTAAGTGAGTAGTACTTGGATTTGCCAGACAAGCCGGACGAGGTGCGAGCGCAAATTCAAGTTGTAATTAATACAACCGGTACATGTATACGACTGTGCGGCATCCATCGGCCAAGGGACTGGGCGCGAGGTCCTGGTGTGCTTCTTGCTTCTTGCTTCTTGCTTCTTGTTTATAATTACCCCCGATGCCAGGGACCGCAGATCGCTCGGGTAGGAATGAGACTTGGATACAGGTATAGATAATGGTGTGGGGCGAGGGAGCGGGGGGCAGGCGAAGGTAGGAATAGGGTATTTCAAATATCTCGATTTGGCCGAACCCCAACTCGGCGTGAAATTGGACACCAAAAATATTTCGGGGTACCAAGTTGGATGTCAAGTCGAGCTCCGGACCACGATCTGACATCCAACTTCAACCCCAACTTCGTCTGTCCGATGTGGCTTCATCCTTCCCGGCACGAAAATGGGGTGGTTTGTTACACGTTGGGGTCGGAGTTGGGCTGGCGTTGGGGTCGGAACGGAGATAATCCAGCTCGTCACATGTCGCGGTTCGAATTCAACATGATGCCCGCCCTGCCCGGGTCGAAGTACTACATACGGTATTCCCAATTTCCCATCCAACGCCACGCAAAGACTCGCCAGGCTACCTATCTATGCATTTTGAACCACGGCGAGTTGAATTTCTCATGTCTCGCTCACAAGCTCGAATATCAATTAATATTGCGGATTTCAAAACGAGATGATCACCCTTCAAGGGTCAGGGTGAGTGAGTGGCAGCTAGTCGTCCAAACCTCAGCTGGATCTACGTGAATATTAACCTGCAGAACCCCACCCGCCGCCCTCGACTGTGTCCTCGACCCCCGTCTTTCACGTCTGGCATTGTTTTCACGTCTAGCGTCGTTCAGCGTCGCGCGACTCGGGCGGTGCGGGGTTCGCCGGAAGGCCTTTGGTCTTGGGCCCAAGCCTCGAGGTGCTGGGTGCTTCTTGCTTCTTCCTGCTTACCCCGAGGACCGCACTGCGCAGATCGCTCGGGTTGGAATGCGAGGGCGGATAACTTATAAAGGGTGTACAGAGGGCGAGGCACGAGGCGAGAGGAGCTGGAAGGAGGGAACCAGCCAACCAGCTAAAAATACGAGTTGAACTGCGACGTCTTCACTTCAATGAAGATTCGCCTCGCAACGGGAGCGGTTTGAGTATTATCGCCTTACTGGCCAATTTTTCAACGTTCGAAGGTCGTGAACCGGCGAATTAATAGTTAAATTCAAGGCATTGACACGCGGATGCGGGGTAAGAGTGCATTTGCTCTTCACGGTGGACGCGAGGTGCTTCTTCCTATTTACCCCCAGTGGGAGGGCGGACCGCACTGCGCAGATCTCGAGTTGGAATGCGAGGATGGATATGAATAAATGAATGACTTGTAGGACGAGGGGCGGGAGGAGGGAACCGACCAACCAACCAAAGATGGGAGTTGAATTTAAAGCGTTTGGATTCGAACGACGTGTGCAATTTATCCAACTCGCGACGGGAGCGGTTCGAATGTCAATTCAACACTCCACGGCGGAGTCCAACGCTAATCAGAGCTTGAACCGTGGAGAATTAATAATTGAATTCAAGACGCGAGCCGGAACTCCACAGATACGAGTTGGGACTCCACACATACACATGCGGGATTGAGTCGGGACTCCAGAGGCGGGGTCGCATTTGATCGTGCTTCGTCTAGCTCTTGTTTATCTCCAGTGGGCGGAATGCGATAATTAATAAATGCATGAAGGGCGTACGAGGGCTGCGAGGAAAGTCGAGTTGAATTGAGAATCACAAATAATTCAACACCACGCTCGCTAATTAAATCATTTCCCGCGCCCACAACCCACAAGTATAAAATGTACACTTGCGCTGAACTCTCCTGGCGACAAACGCATCAATCATACGGAGTCGCGGACGTTGCTACAGTTGTTACAGTTGTATTAATTTATAATTTATAGATGCGTATCTCGTTCCTAGAACACTATGACTACCTCCAGGCACGTTCAGGCGCAGTGCAGTGCACAGTTCCCTCTGTCTGTCTGTCTGTCAGAACCCAACCTTCTCTTCTCTTCTTCTCTCAACTTTTTTTAATAGACTGGCTGGCATCGACAATGAAGGACAGGACAGGACCCGCGAAGCGCTACCCTGGACCCTGGACGCACGCGGCGGATGCAATTAGACCATAACCATACGCATACGCGGGGTCCTGGATCTCCGCATGTCGTGTCGGTTCCCCTCACTCATGTCATGGCGGGGTTCTCTCCGCGTGTCATGGCGGTTCTCCTCGCTCATGTCATGGCGGGGTTGAAATACTCCTCATGTTATGTGCCTTCGACAGCCTGAGTCACATCCCCAAATCCAAATCCAAATCCAAATCCAAATCCAAATGCACCCCACGCCTCGACAGCCTGAGTCACTTCCAATTCCACTTCCACTTCCATGCCTTCGACAGCGCGTCGTGTCGTGTCGGGGATTAATTGTCGACACTGCCCCGCACATCGTGTCGCGTCGCGTCGTGCATCGCCCCGCACATCGTGTCGTGGAGACTGTCGACAGCAGTGCCGGGGATTAATTGTCGACAGCATCGTGTCTCGCGAGTCGCCTGCGCCTGCCCGTGGTAGGCGTCTACATCTAGTAGCCGGGAATGGTCTCGCGTATTATGCCCTATTTCCCCGCGTATTACCCGAGAACGAGTCTCGCGTGTTGCCCCGAGCACCAAGGAGCCTCGCGTATATGCGAACTAGCCCGAGGGGGTAGGTATAATAGGTAGTATTACACACGGCAACTAGCGCTCCAGGCACGGAGCGCCTCGTATGTCCACCGCGACGTCGCGTATCACGGCCGTGGGCCATGGAGCGCTGCGTTCGGTTTCTCTTCTCGAAGGCGGTTGTATGATATTTCGAACTTCGAAGGCGGTGGTGCCTTCGACGCCAGCAACGAACAGCACTTACAGCACTCGCCAATCTACGCGACTACGCGGCTCCGTACGTAGTCTTCCCCGCGCGTAGATAGTCGACGACGTGTAATTTAGCTAGATAATATATACATGTAATCTACGCGCCACGATCGTGATCGTGATCGCGCCGACATCAGAGTCAGAGCAAAAGGATAACTTTGGATGAGGTCCGAGGATAAGGCGTGATTGGGTTTCTGTGAGAAGTGCAGGTGATGGATAAGGGGCGTGGATCTGGAGTGTGGAATTCGGAATTAGGGAGGACAGCCCAAGGGAAGGAAGCATGGGTGATCTGAATCTGGACCTCGAGGCCGGGGGGCCGGTCCCGGGCATCACGTCACGGGGCGCCTCGAGGTCTCGCTAGCCGAAGGAACCTTGGGTTCAGGGCATCCACTTCATTGAGCCGGGGATCGACGCGAGCAGATGCAGGCGCCATGAGGCTGCAGAGGCGCCTCGTGTGGTGGCGAGGGAGGGTCTGCTCAGGGGAGAATATTACCTGGAGGGCGGTGGGATTGCCACCGTATTAATTAGAAGGGCTACAAACAGTACAGGGAGGCAGGAGGGGGGGAGGAGGCGATACAGCAGGTGTGGTGTGTGCAACGTGTGATTTCGGATTGTTAGGCGTGTTTTGTTATAAGTCATCTTCTGATCTTTCAGCCTTGTCTCCGTTTTCTGCCCTCCGCGTGCCAGCGCGCCCTCGTCCTCCTTGAATGCCCTCCATCCTCAACCTCAAGTTCAAAGTCCGTCCAGCGCCCTGCGCACCCGAGCCATCCTGACCTTTTTCCTCCCTCCCCACCCTCTGCGCGCCGCCCCTGCTTCCGCAAAAAGGGTAACAAGTCCTTTGTTGCGTTCAGCAACCTCAATGACACCGAGTCTTTGACCAAGACCTGGAAGGTTCGTGTCTTGACCTCTTCACGTCTTTTCCGCTCTTTTTCCGCGTCTTTTCCCTTTTTTTCTCGTGGCTGACTCGGGGCAGGTCTGTACCAAGGTCGCGAGCTACCTCGAGCAGGGGCAGCGCCTCGAGAACTTGTCGTGGCGGTATGTACCACTCCCGGTGGATGTGAACGTGGCTACTGACGGAATGCACGGGCGCGCAGGCTATGGCACCTCCAGAACCTGATGGTCGACACCGACAACGCAAAGTCCAAGCGCGAGTTCAAGAAGCTCTCAAAGTGCATGGGCGACAAGCTCGACAAGGAAAAGGGCCGGTGCGTCCGTTTCCCGCCTTATGCCTTTCCTTTTTTCTTTGATTTTTTCTTTG